CCACTACATTAATATCACAGGTACAGTTGCTATGTACAGATTCATATTTTTAAAACCTGCAACAAGCATAAACAATAGGATACATTGTTATACAGTAAATTCAAACCACCCAACAGTATATAAAAAAGCTACAATCAGCCCCACCGTGGCTAACTATAACTGCTGACATAGTCAATCCATAATAAATAACAATATAACTGGCAGATGCTATTTTATTGAAGTAATGGAGACTCTTCTCTTTATACTTATGTATTTAATATGTAAAGTTTTGCTAATAATACCTATGTACTTCTGCTCAAGAATACTTTTGAATGCAAGACTTTTACTTAAAGTAGTATTTTCACAGTTGTATTCTAACCCTAACCCTACTTTTACTTAATCTGAATACTTCCACCACTGTATAAGATGTAGTACACTTGGATCATTTCTTGTAATAGGGGTTAGGGGTCAACAGGGTTTGGCTCAGGAGGTTTGTTGGCCCGGTTGAGTAAATGATGAGCAATATGATATTGTATTTTGCTGTATGCAGTTGTATCACCATAATAATTATGTAGTAATTATTCTTTTAAAATACAGTATATTGTAAATTGTTGTGCGTACGTGTTGCTGTTGTGGTGTATTTCCTGGCCTGAGTTGTAGATATTGGTTGGTAAGGTTTTTAAATTATTCAAGACCTGTCATCAATCATTATTGTACAGCAAACTACACATGTGCAGGTTGTCTTTAAGCTTTTAAACTGTCTCTAGTCATTAAAGCTAGTTAGTAAAGCAAAAACAGAAGTAGGTAGGAGTGATACCTCTTGTTTGGGGATAATCTCTGTTCACCTAAATCCACATTATGTGGGCAACGTCGCCCTCAAGTGGAAAGAGACTGCAACAATGATAAAAGGGCTCTGATCATACCTGTCCACTACAATGTGTCACCCTTGAGCTTTCTGGGCTGTATGTAAACCAGGAGGATGTCTGCAGTTTCAATGGCACAGACTCATAAACACACAATACAGGATTCTTTTATTGATAATGACTTGGCAAAGACTGTGATGAGAGTGAAACACTACAGCAATTCTTAAATCACACAATTCTCTTGTGATTACATTGTACTTTTTTATGCTGATGAATGTTTTCTCTCACTGTATCTAGGTAACATTCTTGCCTTAAACACTTTAAGTTGTTTTGTTAATATTGCATCTGGTGTTGGTTGTCGCCTCCAAATATACATGGGGACTGGTTTTACTGATTATCATTCAACTATTTATTAATTGAGATAGTAATCTTCAAATGCGACACCAAAGACCATTATTATTCCATTTGTGTTGTTGTTTAGGTTGTGACATGATTTGTATTAGTGCTATATACAGTAAAACTTTCCTTTCTACAAAAAGCTTTGTATAAAACCTTCCTGAGCTAAGAAAAGCACATGGATTCTCAGTTTGGGAAGCATCTAGTGAGACAAACAAAAATTTGACAACTTACAATCAAAATCTAAAGTCAGTAGGGTATGTGTGTGTGTGTGTGCACAAAAAGCTCTGAGGGATTTTGGCTTTTCATCCACTCCAACTACAAATATCCTCAAATTACATCTGACAGTCTGACTGTACATCAGTAGTCACAGCATCATGTGGCATCCCAAGTTCAAAGATTATGGAGTAAAAACCTTTAAAAATGCATCGCTGTGAAATACATTAACTTGGAGTTGCTGGCAGCTCAAAGTGAAATGATGAACAAGAGCAGGCAGTCATATGGAGCTATACCATATTGTGGCATCAGAGGGGCATTTTCAGCTCGTAAACTGGTTTCCTCTGATGAAGAGATTTTAGTCAGTGAGAGATGAACCGAAGACCTTACAACGCCATAATTCTATCTTAATCTTGGGCTATTTCATGCACACACTAGCACCCAATGTTCTGTTCCCAGCCACAGATATGTCGATACAGAGATGATATAACAAGACAACGTGTGGCTGGTGTGGTTCTCATTATTCGACTAATGAGCTGTCTCCATGGCAGTCTGATCTGTCAGCCAATGAAGCGAGCAGGCCCTGTGCAGGGGGAAGCACGGCCCAGGGTCAGCCAGGCGACGGCTTGCGACGAGGGGCCGGCGTGTAGCACTTAACACCGGGAAGAGCTCGTTAAAGTGTCATTTTTGGCCAATATGCTCGTCTGTGTGGAGGAGGCCAATCAGCCATACTGTTCCCATCGCAGGAGAATGACTTTCATCCATCACCGTCAGCTATATGATGATATTAACAGGTGTTTACTGATAGGTCATTCAGAAGAAGACAGATGGGGGTTCTAATATCACTCCACATTCATATTCACTCAGTCATTTTACATACTGGCTCATTTCTAATAGGGTCACAGGCTGCGAGGAATCTATCCCAGGATGCACTAGAAAAGGAGGCAGGGAAACACCATGACCAAGGCCATCAATCATAGGGTTTAGACATGGAGAGAACACAGACGTGTGTTATGTGAGACTGTATGTCTGTGTGTGTGGTTGTTTCATGTCCATACATATAAGTGTGGAGACCAAAGTAGAAAGATTATGAGAGCACAGGAAAGTGTAAAAGCTGCAAAGAAATGTGATTATTTTCGCACTTTATAAAGTGTTAATAAGTAGTAACTTAATGCTCAATAAACCAGTTAGAAGTTGTTAATAAGAACAAGTATAGTGTTGCCAGGTTGTGAAATATCACTTTGGCTCTCTGCTTAGTAGAAACAGTGTGAATTTTTTTTTTTTCACATGAAAATGGGCAAATTTAAAGAACACAACCACAAAGAAACAGTTTCAGTGTTTGGCATTAGTTGAACGTATTTTGCAATGTTCTTGCATGTTCAAAGAACACTGTATCTTTTCTGTCAACCTCACAAGTTGACAGTCGCTCTGTCCCCAGCATCCTCAGCGGGATTTTCAAGTGTGTGTGTGTATGTATGTGAGTGTGTAATGGAATCTGTGCTGACGGACTCTCTCCACTGGACCCTGCTGTAATTACACCACTCATCGTCTGGGCCGGGCACACTAAGGCCGCTGTTACCCACTTCATGTTTTGCATGTAAACTTAGAGTCTTGCCAATTCTTGCTTTCATGATACCCAAGACTCTCAAACTGAAAACTGTAAGCAAACACAGAGTCAAGTATCTGCTGTGCAGGACATAAAGCTGACAAACCTCTCTCCTTCCTCCTTCTGCTTTTCATTTGGGCTTCGCAGGAGATATCAAAAAGATTTGTGCTGGCAGTAGCTATGTCGTCAGGGAAGGGAAAAAAACATACAATTTCTGTTCTACATTAAAGATTTAGCTTTAGCACTGGATGAACTCTGTTTGATGTCCAAAAACAAAAAAACTCATCCCATCAAATCCTGTTCTGCACTGCCTGGTTGATTTCTACTGGGAGCATCTATGCAACAGTTTCATTGCTTAGGCCAGACCTCATCTTTTGAAAAAGTTCTGTTTAGTAACTATATTTGTCATTCTGGCAGTGCCCCAGCCTCTTTCCTTGTTTGGTCCTTTTAACTTTCCATGTAACTTTCCTCATGTCTCCTCACGGCGAGGATAAATATTTCATGAGGAGCCTGAGGCTTTCCCTGGCACATGCTGTACCTCGCTGTACCCAGGAAGCCCAAGCAGCGGAAACCAAAACAGTAGAGGAAGTGGACGTACAACCCAGCAACAGACAGGAGCTTGTTTTTGAAATAGTTCATCTCTTGCACTCTCTTGCAGCTCCACCTTCTTCTTTCATACCCTATCATCTCTCAGTCCCCCTCATCCACCCATTTCTTCCTCATCCACTTTTCACCCTGAGATTCCCGCACTGCTAGCATGGCTAAAAAACAGGAATTGGGATGTAGGATGTTGAAGCTGAGTTTCCTGTCTTTTAGGGTAAAACTTCCATCTGGAACCTGCAACATTACTGACTGGACCAGCTCCTAAAGTGAAACTCCTTTTGAGGCATCCCTCTTTTTCTCAAAGTCGAATATTTAACCTTTACATATGGGCAGTTCTAGCTTATGACCCTTGCTTGCGCCAGTATTCTTAATGCAAATTCAAAGTTCAAAAACATGTTCTGATGTGGGAGCCACATGTGCCACACAGAATCCTCTTTGTTAGCGGTGTACCCTCAGTCGTCTTTTTTTTCTCGTCCTGTCTCCTGTGCTCTGTCCTTCAGGTGTGGCCTGGATGTGACAGACAGCTGCCAGCGGTGGCCTGGTTTCACACCTTGGCTGTTCCCCCCTCCGCAGACAGCAGCCTGGGAAACCACAGGCCACCAGGCTGGCGCCAGCCTGTACGGCTTAGAGCAGGGCAGCCGGCCCAATCAATACCTCTGCATTTCCTGTCCATTTGCTCAGGTCTCTTCATTAATAATTACTGCTTGGCGGAGCTTCAATGCGCTCGCTGGCTGGGCCAAGGGGAGAGGCTGTGTGACCTTTCCCCGCCCCTGGGCTGACTTGGATCACATACACAGGCATGGGGACATACATAATAAGGCAACATAGATGACATTACTCTGAAACTGATTCTTGCCACTTCCCCCTCTGTGGAGAGGATATCATGCCAAACACAATTACAAAAAATACATATTTTTGCAGCTGTGCTTATCAGCAGAGGTACATACCTGGTAGAACATGACTTTGAGACATTTTTACAACTGGTTTGGAGCTGCTCTTCAATTTGGCAAACACCCACTACATCCAGCAGCTATGATTTCAGCATCATCTGTGGGGTGCAGTAACGAGCAGGGTGAACCTGGGTGATTCTAAAAAATGAAATTTTGTTAGAATAAGTGCTGCTTGGTGCATCATTTGCCGTTCATGGCACATTTTCCAGATGACAATAACAATTCCTCAAAACATCTTAAATTACGTTCTGCCTGGTATGTGCCTTTGCTGATAAGCAAGGTAACAATAAACTGCCAGGTTTTAAAATGCAGCTTGGCGAGATATTTTCTCCACACAGGAGAGGAAGGGGTATATATTAGATCCAACACACAACGCATAACATGATGCTGAAGTAATGTGTTTTTTTAATTCTTTTTTTAATGATGACCATTTATGGATACAGCCATTGCATTTCTGACGCACACTGTCATCCACAACAGAGCAGATCCACAACAGTTTCTCCAGACATGAGCCAGCTCCTGGTTCAAAAGAAGTTCATTTGTCTCTGAAGTGTCGACTGTTTGCTGGTTCTCGTCCTGTTGCCTCTGCAGACAAAGACACTTCAGGCTATTTAGGAGCAGGAGTGTGTGTGTATGTATGCGTGTGTGAGCCCAGGTCAAAATTTGGTGATGGCGGAGGCGATGTTCTCCAAGGCGGATCGAGCCTCGGAGGAGGGGAAAGCCTGGATGGCCTCCAGAGCCTTGTTGCCATGGTAACAGCATAAGTCCACCGCTGAGCTCACGCCTTTCTCAGACTTAACTGCTGCCAAAAGCTGTCAGGGGATGAAAACACACGTTAGTTTGTCACGTCAGTGTCACTCCTGTTACTATCAGCTGTCAACACAACAAACTGTTAAGAGCCAGGGAAAGTTAGCGCACTCTTAAAGTAAGAACTGGATTGTACAGAAGCACGGCATTTCTGCTAATGACAGAAAACCCTTTGTGTAACACAATCATGTATTTGCATGCTGCCCCTGGTACCACTGGAGGCAGCTTACCACATTTAACTACAAGGGAAACATTTCATGCTCATCACTGTGAGTTATATTTAAAAAATTGGCAGGCCTTCTCTGTTGATGAGAAAGGAAATGCAATTTTATTTTTCTGTAGGTTCTACCCAGGCTTCTCACAGCTCTCCTGCCTTTTCAGTCTAATTATGGCACCAGAACACAGGACAGGTGCACACCAGTTGTTGCTACAATCCAGGTAATAAACTCAACAAAGGGCAAACCCTGGAAATTAAAATGTCTTGCCCACCCAGCAATGTCGCTGGTGTTTGTGATGACTTTTAAAAGTCGGTCCTGTATGTTACAACGTGTCTGCTTGCATTTGTAAATGATGTAAATTCCAATATGATTTTTGTTATGAAATGTAATTTCAATTACACTATTTGATCATTTGAAAAAACTATACGGCCTGGGACGTACACACACACATAACCTGATCATTCATACATGAGGAAGTGGAAAACATCAAGTCAAATCAGCCACAGCCAACAGCTTAGGAATACAGACTGAGTGAATTTGGGCGTATCCTTGTGCCTTAGTGCTGGTGTGTTGGGACATCTTTTTGCTGAGGGCGTTTTACCTCATGAATTCTGGAGGTGGAAAGCCCCGTAGGCCTTCCTTCTATAAAAAAATTTGCTGGTGTCGAACTTTGCATCACCCTGGCTGCTTATTTAATTTAGAAAAGATTCTTTTTCACCCTCATTTCACACCATGTTAAACTTTGTTTTCTTCTGCACTGACTTAATCTTTCATCTCTAAATATCCCCCATCCTCCTCCGTTTGCATATTAGGTAGCCTTGTTGGTTCGACATCCTGTTCTTTATACATGCACTTCTACCTGATTCTTCTTAGAAACTCCATCTTGTGCATTGTGATCTCATCAAAATCCAGATGTAGCATGTCAGAACACTTTATAGTACATATATAAATAAGTATTCCAGCTGTGATATTTTTCAATAAAAAGGATCTGGATTATTAGAACTATACAAATCTAATATTACATTTCTTACAATTGAGATGCATTTCAAATGTAAAAGAAAAAAACAGATTTGTACAATAAAAAAAAACTGATCACAGTTTTTATCTCTTTGCTTCAAGATGTTGATAATTAGTCCTGTTGCATGCAGCAGGCCCTTGTTTTCTTCTTTTTCTTTTTTAGTTTAAGCCATTTTTACTCACTGACTTAATGATACAGAAAGTTCTTTACCACAATTAATGAAGCTGACATTTGTCTCTATACTTATCAAGCCCCAAAGTTCTGAATATTAAATAAATAAACCAGACTCGATGAAAACAAATAATCATATAAAAAACTGAAACTGAAATATACAAACTAACCAAGACATTGTGAAATAGTAAACTCATTATGACAAAATGTTAATTGCAGTTTTTTTTTCATTTCAGACCAAAGTGTGTCACCCTCACTTCTTTCATGTAGTCAGATGTTCTTATATTATTAGTGCAAAATATTAAAGCCTTCAAATAATATTCCCTTCTACCCAGTCTGCACTCTCCTTCTCCCGCAATGATCAATTTTACAGCTGGAAAATCTGTTTGCTGAAAAGTGACTTTTTGGGGATGCTTTCTAATTAGGGATGAAAGACTAATAGACTAAATGCAAATCAGTATAAAATGGGAGTTTCTGTTAACATTTATGGTTATTTATCAGAGTTAATGGGATGAAAGCACATGCTAAATCATGTAGACAATTTGTAGATGGCAGAAACGTACACAAAGTACTTCTAATTATGCCCCATTATATCCCATCTTTGTGCTGAATCAAAGCAAAGTTTTACACTCCAAGGTCTTTCTTTTTCCTCCCCAAAAATTCATCCCTCCCTCTGTCCTCCTCTCAGCTTTCCTCCTCGTGTCCCCTCATCTCTCCTTCCCTTCAAACTTCTACCCATGTCCCCTTTTCGACAGGTCTGCTGAAGGAGATTCTCTCACAATGCCACTGTCTCAGAGCCTCAGTGTCTCCTCCACAAATAGGCCTCAGTAACTAATCCTTCCTGCTCTGGTTTCAGACGGGACCAGATAACCCCCCCAACACCATCAGACCCCTCCTCTGTAGCTTCAGTCTCTCCTTGCACCCCTATCGGCCCGCCTCTTCCCTCACACAGTGACTTTGGAAAGCTCATTTCCCAACTCTGATATAGGTTACAGTGAAAAGACGTCCTGTTTCTCTTTGATGGCTCTATCAGATGCCGCACCAGTAAGTAAACAAGTGAAAACAACAAGATCAAACAATGAAAAATTGAACTATCTTACTGAGTAACACGAAGGCAACAGAGGCTGCTACATTGAGTAAGAGCACAGTATGTGTGTAACAAACAGAGTTCATAGCTCAGTGAAGAGGCAGATTATGTACAGAAGAATACATAAACCAGTGGGCTTACCTTTGAGTAATCCAGTTGGTTTCTCTGTGTTTTTACCTTGTAGAAAAGAGAGTAATTATCAGTTAAGTTTCCAAGCTTGCCTTAGCAATATGATCAGCAACTATTTATTAACATTTAAAAAGGTACCTGTTGATTAAACTGAAGAACTTAAAATCAGCACAGCTTTTCATTTACACTGCTCTAAGCAGAAATCACCTTAATTTTAGAAGTAGAAAACACCTCACTAAATCCTTCATCCTGCTGCTACAGTACATCACAAAAAGCTAATAAATGATTGATGATTAAAGACTAAAAGTTTAACAAATGAAGAATGCAGAGAAGTGCAAGTCATATAAATAAATAAATAAATAAATCAATCAATCAATCAAGGCCTTACTTAATTTTCCATATTTGTTGGCCAAAATGTGTTGAAAGTCCAACAAGTCAAGTGTGGGAAATACAGTTTATCCCGAGGTGGATGTGAATATCTGTAACAAATGTCACCCCGATCCATCCAATACTTGAGACATTTAAAACCAAATATGTCAACCTCATGGTGGTGCCAGAGGAAAAGTCAGGGGATCACCAAAGTAAGCAGGTTTCATCCTCTGGGGTCCATGAATGTCTCTAGCAAATTTCATGACAATCCATCTAATAGTTGAGTTGCTTTCAGTCTAAAAAAGGTGATGGACAGGCTGACACATGCCATCATACTATGAGTACTAGCTCAGCAATTTGATGCATGTAACACGGTCAGAAATACCAGTGACTGAAAGACTCCATTCCATGAAACAAAACAAAATGAATGTAGCTGCTGCAGTGGTGTCATAGACCAATCATACCTCCTGCAGCTGTTGATTCCATCTCTCCCGGCCAACGATCTGACGGTGGAAAACCACCGGGGCGGCACTCAAGCTGAACGACACCGGCTCTCCTATGCTGCTCTTCACAAACGGCTGCAGGTCAGAGTTCAGCTACAGAAGGCAGAGCACATTTTGTCAATCAGGCTGAGATTCTACTTTGAAACCAATTAAAGCGACCCAATGGTGAACATGTGAACAGGTGAGCGAGCATTCGGCCTACCTACACTCTGAGTGACCCTGTTAATGAGCAGCATGATGAACGGTCTGGTGAAATGCACAGCTAGCCTGATGAGGACGGTTCCTCCTTCAAAGACCTCATTTTGGTTTCCTCCCATGCTGAGATTCCCTGTAGCCACTGAGGCCTGCAGACAGGCAGCTACAGGGAGCCACAGCAGGAGAGGACGTACTAACACAGCACTGTGAGTGGGAGCATTATGAATGACTTTTAGGCTAGCACCAATAAGATTCATGCCTCTGAACCTTGAAACACGTTTTAGCATCTGCATTATCTGGTGCATTAAGACACTAATTTTAGTTTGGTGCAAGTCAACCTTCCTCCTCATTCCACGTTTCTGTATGTTTGTCTGATGTGAGAATAATGAGACACTGAGGCATATAAATGGAATGTACTGGAAGGACATTATCCAAAAACTTGCACTTTATTGCAAATATATCCACATGTCCTCTCTTTCTATTAAATCAGCTACGGTGTGAAGACTTTGAGCAAGAGAAGGTAAAAGGCCAATTATTCACCCAGGCAGAAGAGGAAAAGTTCAGACCTAAGACTGTATCAAAGCTCCTGAAAACTTGTTTTCAAAGCTTTAGTACTGTATTGTACTGTAGAGATTAAAAAAAATTCTGGAAATGATGACAACGTGAGGGTTGTATTATATTCAAGGACAATGTATACACAACAGCAGATAATGGTTTTGAATTGAGAGAGTAATGATGTAACACTGGCTCCAACAGAGAGTGCTGCACTATGGGCTGTTTGTAGCCTTAATGTTGCAAGACTAGCGAGTTTCTTCAAGTCCCTTTATAGCGTGTCTTTTAGATTTATTCAGCTCTAAAAGTGTTTAGTTAGCTTTGTGTTACCTAGAGGAGTTTCTTTCGTCTTGGAATCTGGGTTGTCTTCAGGCCAAAATGGCATCTCAATCAACAACAATTAACAATCAATATGTTAAAGTTGAGGAAAAACAACCCTAAATGAATATTTATTTTGATACTAAATAACAGCTGTTTGTTTCATCAGGACTGTGTGGCGGTGGTTTGATGAAACTTTGATGTAAATGTTGCTTCACTCTGATTGGTGCACAGAAATATGTGACATCACAACCTTCCAACTGATCCCCACCCACTTCAACCCAGTGAGAAAAGTACAAAAACATACATTTCTCAGAAAAATCTGAGAAATTTCTAATGTGAAATAAGCAAAACAGTTCCAATTTTGGCAGAATAATGTGTGTCCCTGTAGTTCCCCATTAATCTTAGAAAGAAAGTGCTTGGAAGAAAAGTTTTCAGAGCCTTTAAACCACAACATTCAGCTGTGATTATCTCAGATGTAGCCCACTGGTGTGGCAGTTGACCTTTATTGATTTATCCTCCAGAAACCAACTTCACTGGTACTTGCTGTGTGGTTCGGTGGGACGCTCAGATTAAACTTACCTTGTGGCCCAGTGATATGTGCCTGCCGTACTTGTAGGCCAATCTTTGGCACTCCTTGTCGTGTTTGGCGAGCTCCATCGCCCCTTGACAGCTCTTGGCCAGCAGTGCCCCGTGGGACAGGAATGTCTGATCCTCCCATGTCGCCACGTTGACGCCATCGGTGAGACTATTCTCCTGTAGAGCAAACAGAGGCAGAGACAGCGTGGGCCTGAGGTCTCACTGCTTCTGTGTACAACTTCAAACTGTACACCTCAGAACTCCTCAATCAAAACAACCCCTCCTCGCTCAGTGATTTTATTTTTCAGTATGTAAGCATAGCAGCACAGAGACCCAACTCCAGAGCAGGAAAAACACTCTGGTAGCTCTGCAAACACTTTGAATATGTTCTTTTATGTCCACAAATGAGTCCAACATTAAAACACTATAAACACCACATGTATTACGAGGTTAAATAGACCATCTCTGTAGGTATTGGTGAAGTTTCGTCTGGATAATAGAGGAAAATCTCCATTGTAAGAGGCTTTTAACTGAAACTTTGTCTGAAGTACACGGTGACATTATTCTGAACACTACTGCAGAACCTAAATCCACAGTACAATTAAGGGAAACTCTTGCTCACTGGTACCTGACGGCAGTATGTGAACTACACCTTGGCTTTCGAGGGAGCTCACTTTTTCTTACAGGGGTGGTTGCCTGCCTCAAGAGAGGACTGATTGACTCACATTATGCTGAATACAAAACTGAGCAACTGATGCAAAGAATCGGCATGCAGGCTGAGTGGGACTAAGAAAGTTTGGGGTTTTATTTTTTTGTGATTTGATTTAAATTGCGCCGCTACAAGCTTCAGTGTTGATGGCAAACACAGCATGCATGCCGGTATCTTTATAAAAGTTAATTAGATCACCTTCATGCATGAATCATACACTGTTATTAGCCTAATTGTACATATGATTTATGATGATGAAGATACAGAAAGAAATGCATGGCAAACATAGCATATTGTTAGTATTTTAAACCCCCCAAAATTTCTCATATCATGTTTTCAGGAGAGCTCATGTCTTATTAAAAGGAGTCAAGCTCCCCCTGGCTCCCCTGTAGTTCTCACCCTGCCTGACGGCACTGTGGTCCGTTTGAATTCAGAAAGACTCTTTTGAATTCCTTATTTATCAACTTATCAGTTATAGTCAGCTAGTAGCGCCTGGAGTTAGAAACAAATCAGTAATTATCACAAAGCAGTACACAACTGTACACAGCGGGAACCAACTTCCTGATTATCTAAACTCATTTAATTTGTCTGTCCCCACCTTGTCAGTGACACTCCTACTGAAGGATGTAATTCATTAGGAACTGATCAAAAATATATAGTTTTGTTTCATAAAGGCGCAGTATTTTCTTTAAAAACCTGAGCACCTTAGTTTCTAGCAAGTATTACTCAAACAGAAGGAAATTGTGCATTTGTTGGGGACTATTTTCAGTAGCGGATAAATCCACATTTAATGCTCTGAGTATATCCAACAGCAGGATGTCATCCAGTGCAACAGTTTGGCTTGTTGGTGTTTTTTCTGGACAACAATGGAGCTCTATGGCACAGAGGAAGAAGATATATCCTAAACTTAGTTAGTAGGATTCATTTATTGCTTTTGGTGTTCTATGGTTTGAATTCATCTTGTAACACTGTCTATTTGTAGGTATGTCATGAATCCCATTATGTATGATATATGCCATACATTTGAATTTGCCTTGCCTTTATTTTTCGTCTCAAGTCATCAACTCGTTTGCATCACTGTTCTCAAATTGACTCCAGGATATTTTAATTTACCTTCTTTTTTGTTGTGTATGATGTATTCTGTCATGGTTTTTCCTAAACCCTTATCACAGCTTGTTTAACTGCCCCACATCAAAGTTGGACTATAGAAGAAGAATAGATGCTTTACCTCAGTATTATTGGAATTCTCATGGTAGATTCCTTCAACTAAATCACCGATGGCACTCGAGATCAGTTCAACAACCTGTCAAAAAGAAAAAACAAAACAAAAAAACATTTATTGAAATTAAAACCTTTTAGCATCATCAGAAGATCAGAGTTTCACACCATCCTTTGTTATCTGTTGAACTGAAAAGGCAAAGTTAAATGATGTGTTTAATCTGCACAACAGTCAACATGTCCATCAACAGCCACGTGTCCTGTTGAAGTGTCCTTGGACTCGGGCACTGAACCGATAACCTACACCCTCATTATAAATCACTCCTGCTAACAGCATCTACAATGTAGATGTAAATGAGGTTGATCAAAACTGACACGCTACTCAGTTCATCCGTGACATTTGTAATTAAAAACCACAATTTCCCCTGATTGAAGCATGGACTAACAGCCCTCTCATCTGAACAGCTGGTTGGCTGAATAAATCAGAGGTGAGATGAGGGTCGGAAACCAGGTGAACTGCCGCAAACTCAGCTGCTCATTATCAGGCCACAGGGGAGCTCCTGTTGATTTCATAAAGCAGATCCAGGCTGGCCTTCATTCATTATACTTTGTATTTATAGAGAAGTCCAGTCGATAGAGACAGATCAGGTGTCTGTCCTGTCTGAGGGGCTGAAACGGAGCTAAAAGGCAGATGGTGAGACGAAATAAGACTGTGTCCAGAGAGCAGAGGGGTTAACAAGGTTTTGGAGTGATGATCTGGCGTTGGGGGTCTCTTTGCTCTCCTTTTTCTCCACAAATTACCTGAAGACTTATTTCACTTTGTGCCTTTGAGCACTGCAACTTTGTATTATTAATCTGTTGATGCTTACAGTATCTATATATTAGTGGTTCTCTGCAGAAGTGGTACAGAAATATTAAAATGAAAATTGGAAAATGACCAAGAACCACTTCTTTTATGACCATGCTATAGACTCTTTTCAGCACAAGTTAATCAATATACTGTACAAGAAAGAAGTTGATGCTTTTGGGAAACTGACATTAGAGAATATTGAACTTCCTACCTTCAAATATTTGACTCTTGTCATATAGTACCGTGTTGAGGTCTGAGCTGTTTGTTTAAGACTGCAGTTGCCCATTTCCTCTTACAGGGGGCATGCATGACTACATTTTAGCTTACAGAAACACTACTGGCCCTTTATCAGGCACCAAATGAGAGGCTGCATCTTTTCAAATAATTATTCAAAGTCTGGATCTAATGAATGAGTAAAATTCTGAAGTCGATCTCGCCGTCCTTCATTCACAGCCACAGAACAGTCCCAGACGGAGGAGCGGAGGCCTCCACTGTACAGTTCAGATGAATGAGGTTAAATTTAGAGCTCCTTCAGCTCATCCCAGACATCCTTGGTTCATCAGAAAAGTCTGGTGACGCTGGCTGCTCCGTCAGCCTCGCAGTGCCCTTTGGGTAACTGAATCCACCGGGGGAAAATATTGAGGAAACCCGAGCTTCGCCCACAGACCTGGAAGGACAATGTGCCTACAGTATTACCAGATGTGGTGTCTCTGCCTGCCTTGGGAAGTGGGGGCCAGTGGGGGTCTTTTTTTGGAAAGTATCAGATAAGCTCTCCCCCTGCCTCCCCCTTACTCCATTCCCAAATCCAGCCAGATCGTGTTTTGCCGACAGGTCTGCGAGGGGGGAGAAACCGGAGCTACACGGTGAGATTACTTTACAGTTTATACAAGTAGCGGCATAGGTTTCCTCTCAAGGCCACGACACATAATCTCACATCGGTCTCACTGCCTTAAAAGAAAAAAAAAGGCTGGTTTATTAGAGAAAAACTTTGAAAGCTGCAAAAAGTACTCATCTGTCACCCTGTGTGTTAAAAGGATGCGGTACAATGACCACACACAGGCTGCAGGAAAAGAAAGGGGAGACAATCTGCTGTTTAGCAGCCTGTCAGTTTTTATACTAGACTCAAACTGCCCTCAGCTTAACACACTTTGAAGCTGTTACAGAGTTATAAATATCAGACAATTAGCAGATTTTAATGAGAGAAAGGCAATCGTTTACAGCCTTTATTGCATTTGCCTAAGGGTAATTCTAAGTTTAAAACTGAAACAATAACAATCCTAAGGAGCTAAACGAGGTTGGATGCAGCGTTAAAGGGGCACTCCACCAGTTTTACACATGGGGGTCAGTTTAGTCATCATTAGATCTTGTTGCATAATATCTTCCGTGGCTCTCAAGGAAAATATTTTGAAAAAATAACACTGTTGATGCCATCTTGGGAGATGGGAGGGTCTAATGAAAAAGCATTTCCTGTTGCCTCATGGGAAATGTAGGATCCAGTGTTTTTGGAGCTTAACCCACACTAAACACTAGTAGTCAGGATGTCTCGACCTCTGCTGTTTTGATTTTGACCATTCTTATTTCACATCTGCCCAAACACAATGGAAGTGTTAGTCTTCCCTTAACTTCAACAGATAGACACAAAGGTTGATCAAGTTGAGTGAATCTGTACAGAAATAGCCACACTCATGCCTACACCCTTTTTGCTCACTTTTCATAACTTACCTACTTTTCTTAAATTAACAAAAATGTCCATAAAGTCAGATAAACAGAAAGTCATCAACTCAAGGTCCACTTATTTGTTAATTTTGGAACTTTTGACCATATCACAGTGTCTATATCAGTTTGTATTAAGTTTGCTAGGTTGTCATGGAACTGCACCTTGAAGACTAGAACTTCTCGTCCATGTTGGCTTAAAGGACCAGTGTGTAAGATTTAGTGGACTGCAGCGGTGAAATTGCAGATTGCAAAAATTTCTAAGTTAACAAAAACACAACTATTCTTGTTCTCAGGTGATTATACCGAATGAAAACATACCTATGAATATTATATTCCATCTATGCCAATAGAGACTCTTAAATGTTATACACTGGACCTTT